AATATTATCTATCTACTTTATATAATAGCATCTATAAGTAAGCAGCATGGTTAGTTCCTAGTCTATAGTATTAGTATTACTAGTAGGTTAAGTAGGTATAGTAGTAGTAGTAGCTATATAGTAGATAGGTATATCTATAGTAGTGCTAATATATGCTTAACTAGTTTAAGCCTTCCCTTTCTAAACTAAGTATTTCTTAACCTACTCTTTAGCTTCTAGCCTATCTATAATCTCTTAGACCTAGTAATAGTAGGCCTTAAAGGTTTCTTTCTTCTTAACTATAAGTAGTAAGGCTTATATCTCTTAGTTAATTACTATATTAATATAGCTCTTCTTTACCTTATTAAGGAACCTATAGCTATCTACTTCTATAATAAGCTAATTTATGTCTATAAGTATATCTTATATTAGCTAATTTAACTAATATAGTGCCTATAGTTCTTATATCACCTACTCCTGCTAGTTCTTATCTAGGAAGAGCAGATATATCTAGTCTAGTATTATAGCTAGGGTCTGCTTACCTATCTTAGGGTCATCTATATAGGTGTTTATCTAGGGTAGTATAGCTATATTAGCTACTCTAGTTAGGTATAAGAAAGCTAGCTAGGTATGGTTATAAGGAGAACTAATTATCTACTAGTTAATCTATAGCTTAGCTTATAGCTTTATATAGAAGGAGGTATATTATACCTTATTAGTATTATTATAGGAGGGAGGGTTTAGCATAATCTACTTTATCTATATTCTAGGAGCTTCCTATAGTTAAGGCTTAGTCTACTACTCTTAAGGATTAAGAGGTATATTCTACTAGTATATTATCTTAGATTCTAGTTAACTAATATAGTTTAATACCTACTCTAGCATATTTATAATGCCTGTAGCTAGGTCTATATTTCCTTCTATATTAGTATCTATTATATACTCTTATTAGGTTCTAATACTACTTATTAATTCTAATATTAATTTGCTGTTTCTAATATTCTAATATTCTAATATATTTATCTATTCTAATGTATACTGTATAGTTATTAGGTGTGTCTAGTAATCTAATATATCTACTAATATATGTTTCTAATAATTCTAATATGCATTTCTAATAATTCTAATATGCTTGTTTTTAGATGATAAGCAAGTTCTAATGTTATGGGCTAGGCCATAGAGAAACCTATGACTAGGTATATATAATAAGAACTCACTAAAGAACTAGAATAGCGGGTCTGCAGGCCTGGATAGAAATATCTAATTATGCATTGCAGCTAGCGAGAGGTCACATGATCTAGGCCATTAGTTCATAAGTTGCTTCATATCGCGAGTGCTAGGCAGCACGAGCATATTGCGGGCCTTGCTCGCAACATATATTAGAAGTATTATTTATAGCTTAAGAATAGCTTCCTATCTAGTAGCTAGTAAAGATAAGTTATATAAGGTATGAATCTAAAAGGTATAATACTATTATCTTTATATTCTTATAAGAATTTAAAGGTAAGGTAAGAGCTATAGCCATTAAATATAAGAATATACTTCTCCCCTCTCTTTATATAACTATTTATCAGCCTAATAAAATATTAAAGCTATTTAAATACTAATTTATTAGTAATCTAGCTATTTAGTAAGGTTCCTATAATTATATCTAGTAGTAGACCCTTACTCTTATTAAACTAATACTCTATAAAGATGCCACCACCTTTAAAGAAGAAGAAGAATAGGTTAGAAGAATAAGTTAGAAGAATAGGTAGGAACCTACCTTTAAAGATAAAGAAAGGGTCCATCTACTAGCTATTAGTAGTAATATATTTAATAACTATAATATTCTCACCTCTTTCAGCTTTAGTAAGATCTAGATAAGAATTTTTTAAACTAATTATGTTTCTTAATATACCCTTACTGGGTTGGAAGCTATATTTATTAAAGTTATATACTAGCCATACTAGTGCATCTTTAACTATATTTATAAGTAGATTATACTAGTGTGCTAGCAACCCTATATCTTTAGCTTAGATATACCTTAATTCCTTTATCTTTTACTTTATTAGACCTAGTTTTAGGTATACTAAAAGATGTTTCTTAAAGTAATATATCTATATCTTACTAATCTATTAGTTAGGCTTACTAGTATATATAAGTACCTAATTTATCTATACTTCTAGTATTCTAGGAGTTACTAATATATTTAAAATATATATATAGACTAATTAGAGGTATAAAGCTTCCTTCTAATACCTCTTAAGAACTTTATTAACTAATTTCTAAGTTATATAAGGTTATCTACCCTTTTTAATACAGTTATATAAGGTTGTATAAGGAACACTATATTTATATATAATCTTAGTAATATTTAGTTTTTCTTAGGCCTAAACAGCTTCACAGGCCTTAAGGAGGGAAGATTTATTAAATTTAGTAGATTTAGGCATGTTATATAGTTAGAATAGCTTTAAGAAGTCAAAATATTAAAAATTAGTGATTATAGTATGGTTAGTGATTACAGTGTGGTGCACCTACACTAGGAAGTGGGGTGGGTAAATGAAGGCACAGATATAGAGCCATGGGGTGTTAATACTGCATGTCGTAAGGACCAGGGCTTTGACATGGTCGGGCATACCGTAGCGCATAGGATGACAGATCAGACACCGCCAAATCTGAGATCTAGCAGAATGGACAAGATGTAGGGAACGGAGTACTCCGTACAGAGAAAGATAATATTCCCTATTCTTCCATGGGTGTTCTAGATCAGGTGATAGTGAGAGTGAGACAGTATACTAGTATTTGTGGAGAGTGGACGGTGAGACAGGGGATGTGGCTATTGATTTCCATGATTCGATTCTATTGTTGGGTTCTGTTTGGCATGGATGGGACCAAAGAGATGAAGAGGCAGTAGGGAGGTAAATTTAGCAACCAGACGTATCTACTCCGTACTACAGTACTACTCCGTAGACTAGGTGCCAGACTATGGATACTTTGTACTCCATAGACCGCGAGGACTGTTCGCCGCGGGCATGAAGCCAAGAGATTGAGACAGGGATTGGGAGGACGGGACTGATCAGACTACCGGCTGAACTTGCTGAACTCTGAAGTCCAGCTGGATTTGGGACAGGCACAGATACGGAGGGAGTGTGTTACCTGGTACATTTCCTAGGGGTGTGTCTCTGTGATTGCTGTGGATTGCTGTGGATTGCTGTGGTGGAGATAATATCGAGTCAGTACTGCAGTATGGATAAATTGCGTATTGATATCAGGTTGAAAATCCTGTCAAGGTCCTATGCATCGATCCCAGCTCAGGCATGTTAACCTAGACAGATAGATAGATGGATAGGAGTGAAGTTACAGCCGTCGACCTGAAGCTGAAGGTGACGAGGTCTGTGGGGCAAACAGATTGCGATACGGAGTACCATAGATTTGTTGAACCCTGAAAAGGGGGAGCTGGAGCTGGGAGCTTGATAGCTGGCTGAGGTCTAGAATCTACCGCAGATACCGAGTTCAGCCTGTTTAAGGTCGCTGTAGGGTCAGATGACAGACAGAGAACCCTGAGGCTCTTACCAATTACAATAACTGGAATGGATGACTCGAAGCTTCTCTCATACTTTGCGATGGTTGACATGTTCGAGATTCTCATCAGTTCTGGATGCAGAGATAGAGACCTTAGGCAGAAAATGCTTCTAAGAATAACCGGGAAAATGCTAGCGGTGTACAGGGAACCTCGAATGTACAGTACCGTACCATACATTTCAGGACTGACACCCCTGACACTCAAATATCGCAGCTTGATTCAACCAATCAAAGCACAGGACTCGTCCATTCCTGTCTGCTGTACTGGGAAACGGACAGATTCCGTACAGTGTCTTACCTTACCTGTACCTCTACCCCCACTGGGAGGGAAATAAAACATCGTCATCGTCCCGACTCCTAGTAAGTAGTAGTACTACCTTAGTGATAATATTGACCATAATAAGAGCTGGACCAAGTTGGCAGCAAGCTTGACCGATTCTTGTATTAATATTAGCTACCATCATCCCTCTTGTTCTCTCCTCTTCTCTCTTGTTTCTCTCTTCTCTCTCTGTCTATCTCTCTATCTACCTGTCTACCTGTCTACTAGAAACATGTACGTGTTCCCTGTCTTTCCCAAGGTACCTTACCTTACCTACCCCTACCCCTCCCCATTGCACCAATTGTTACCTGCTTGCTGTGTTGCCAATGACGGCAGCTTGTCGACATCCTGCTGCCCCTCTCCCTCTCCCTGTCCCTCTCCCTCTCCCTGTCCCTCTCCCTCTCCCTGTCCCTCTCCCTCTCCCTGTCCCTCTCCCTCTGTCACCCCCCAAGACAATCGATCGACACTCTCCCGTGGCAATTCTGTCTAGAGTCTGAACAAACCCCTCCTGATCCTCTTTCATACCGGTTTTCCCACTTAAATCAAGCTTCGTGTCCTCCTTTTTTTTCGATCCTTTCGACCCTTCCCCCTCAACGACTGTCGTCACTAACTCGGCCTGCTTGGATACTTAGTGAGCGGACTTTGACCACATCCATCAGCTCTGTTTTCTTTCGAGTGGATATCTACATCTTCACTTTCCTACTTCTCGAATTCACCCGCCAGATAATCTCTCACAATGGCAGCAAAAGCTTTGCCTACCCACCTCAGAGCCCCTGCCAACGAGGCCTCCAACAATGGCTCGTTCGGAAAGCATCACGCAAAGTCTCAGTCTCACATGGTAAGTTGCATTTCCACCGGTCGCAGATCAGGACGGGTGGTCGACAGCTTTCCGAGTGCTCTAGAATTGCAATACAGTTTGTGTTGGAAGGAGCTGCTGGAGAGCTGGGCTTGCCTAGTTTCAGCCACAGCCTGCAGTACATAAATCCCTCACCTGTCTTTCCCTCTACTTGTGGCAGTTCATGCATTGTTTACCCCAACAAGCTCTCGTTCTGTATCCTTGCCCCATTCTATCAGTTTTGCTTCAACCATTATCCCCCTATTATTTTCAATTTGATTGCTGCAGCGATCACATACCAACATGCCTCTCTTTTCTTCTTCCACCAAACTGACGCATTCCCCTCGTGCTCAGGCCTTCGAGAATGCCTCCACCAGCGTTGCTGCCTCTCAGATGCGTAATGCTCTGAACGCCCTCGCCGAGACTGTTCCCGACCCCAACGAGAAGAAGCGCTTCGAGGCCGAGATGGACAACTTCTTCGCTCTCTTCCGCAGATTCCTCAACGACAAGGCCAAGGGCAATGTTGTCAACTGGGACCGCATCAACCCTCCTCAGCCCAATCAGGTCATCGACTACAGCGAGCTGGGCACCGAGGCCTCGGTGGAGTTCCTGAACAAGCTGGCCGTCGTCAAGCTCAACGGCGGTCTCGGTACCTCCATGGGCTGCGTGGGCCCCAAGTCCGTCATTGAAGTCCGTGAGGGCATGTCCTTCTTGGATTTGTCCGTTCGTCAGATTGAACACCTGAACCGCACCTACAACGTCAACGTGCCCTTCGTTCTGATGAACTCGTTCAACACCGACCAGGACACCCAGTCCATCATCAAGAAGTACCAAGGCCACAACGTCGACATCATCACCTTCAACCAGTCCCGCTACCCTCGCATCATCAAGGACTCTCTCCTCCCCGCCCCCAAGAGCTTTGACGCTCCTCTGCAGGACTGGTACCCTCCCGGTCACGGTGACGTTTTCGAGTCGCTGTACAACTCGGGCACTCTGGACAAGCTGCTCGAGCGTGGTGTCGAGTACATCTTCCTGTCCAATGCCGACAACCTGGGTGCCGTTGTCGATCTCCGGATCTTGCAGCACATGGCTGACACCAAGGCCGAGTACATCATGGAGTTGACCGACAAGACCAAGGCCGACGTCAAGGGTGGTACCATCATTGACTACGAGGGCAAGGCCCGCCTGCTCGAAATCGCGCAAGTGCCCAAGGAGCACGTCAACGAGTTCAAGTCCATCAAGAAGTTCAAGTACTTCAACACCAACAACATCTGGATGAGCCTCCGCGCCGTCAAGCGTGTCGTCGAGGAGAACGAGTTGGAGATGGAGATCATTGCCAACGAGAAGTCCATCCCCGCCGACAAGAAGGGCGAGGCCGACCAGGCCATCTACCAGCTGGAGACCGCCGTCGGTGCGGCCATCCGCCACTTCAAGAACGCTCACGGTGTCAACGTTCCCCGTCGCCGTTTCCTGCCCGTCAAGACTTGCTCCGATCTCTTGCTGGTCAAGTCGGATCTCTACCGTCTTGAACACGGTCAGCTCGTCATGGACCCCAACCGCTTCGGCGGTGTCCCCGTCATCAAGCTGGGATCCGACTTCAAGAAGGTGTCGGACTTCCAGAAGCGCATCCCCAGCATTCCTCGCATCGTCGAGCTGGATCACCTCACCATTACCGGTGCTGTCAACCTCGGCCGCAATGTCACCCTGAAGGGAACCGTCATCATTGTCGCGACCGAGGGCAGCACGATCGACATCCCCCCTGGCTCGGTCCTGGAGAACTGTGTGGTCCAGGGCAGCTTGAGAATCCTGGAGCACTAGATGAAACGAGTTTCATTGCATCTCTTCTACCCTTAGTCATTTTTAATTCGGGGCTCGCCTTGTCCGGTTGCCGCCATCGTTGGTGGGGCAGATGCGTCGGACAGAGTGGGTTAATAGAACAGTGTTAGAAGCGGGTTGACTTCTCCGGGTATTTTGTGGTTGTTCTTCGAGATGTGTGTTTTGACTGAATGCCAGGAAAGCACATTTGCCTACGCATGGTTCTTGTGGTGTGCAGCAAAAACTTGTTTGGCCGTGCAGCATTTCGTCTATGTTCTTCTCTTCTTACTGTTATTTAATTGTGTCGCTTGTGAAGCCACTCCTGGTTGAATGGAGTTTCTGAGCGAGGGTGAATTTCACCGAGGACTATCTCTTACTTGTGTCGTCCGCTAGCTGGACATCATAATGGCAAATCAAAACTTGCACATTTTAGTCTCAATGTGTAGCGAAGACCATGACCTTGCTATCTATAGGCTTTCTTTGGTGTAGTCTACCTCTAGTCTTAAGGGAATCTCTACGACCAACAAAGATGGCACAAAGTGCTCCAACGAAGAGGCGTAGGAAATGGATCCCGAATGACTGCAAGCTTGGGCGATATGGTCTTCCCATGGTTCCTCGGAATCGAGTTCCTGGTGCTCGTTCACGTCGTCGTCCGTACGTCATGTGCAGGCGAACGCAGGCAAACTGATTATCGCTTTCTCCTATGTCGACAATGGCCGCATACTCTGGCTCAGTGAGACCCAGAAAACGTTCGTTTCTGACACTGCATCTTGTAGTCTTACCCTTGTCAACCCATGCCTCGACATGAATGATCCACCCGCATCATTTCGCCCGATCGTCCCAGGCGCTGTGCCGACCTCGCCGACATCAGATAGTCCCCCCAAGGTAAGCCAAGGGTCGCCACCGAGCCCATGGAAGAAACGAGTCTCGACGGCATGTTTGGCATGCAAGAAGTCCAAGCGCAAGGTAAGTCTATCCCCCCATCCCACTCGAGGCCCGTATCATCATGCGCAGGCAGGCTGACCTGTACGAACAGTGCTCCGGCGTGCCCCCCTGCGACAACTGCCGCGCCTTCAAGCGCGTCTGCATCTTCGACGAATCGCTCGACCAGCGCCGGCGCGTCGCGCAGAAACGCACGGCCGAGGAACTGAATTTCCACCGGGACATGCTGAACGATCTCTTCCGGGTGGTGCGGTCCGCGGACGAGACGCACGCGCTCAAGCTGCTGGAGATCATCCGCAAGAACGCGACGGCGGAGGAGATCCGCGCGTTCATCGACGAGACACTCCTCCGGATGGAGGGGCCCGATGCGGAGGGCACAAGCAGCGGCGGCGGCGCCGCGGAGGCGGTGCAGAAGCTCGAGGAGGTGCGGCGGACCATCGACGTCGAGGGCGCGGGCCCGTCGTTCCGGCGCAAGGTCATGGACATCCATTATCTGTGTGACGAGGCGCCGTGCAGTGTGCCTGCGAAGCCGTGGACGAGCGTCACCGAGGATGCGGATCTCGTCTCGCATCTGGTCTCGCTGTATTTCACGTGGGACTATCCGTTCCATGCGTTTCTGGACCGGGATGTCTTCCTGGCGCATATGGCGCGTGGGCGGCCGGACTCGGACTTTTGTAGTCCGTTTCTGGTGAATGCGTTGTTGGCGAATGCTTGTGTGAGTTTGTTTTCTTTCTTTCGTGGTCTGTTTGGAGATGGTTGACGGGAGTTGAGTAGCATTTCTCCGAGTTCTCCGAGGCGTACGTCGTGCCGGGCGACTTGGTGACCAAGGGCGCGGATTTCTTGTCGGAAGCGGAGCGTCTGAGAGAGGAGGATACGGGGAAACTCAGCCTGGCGTATCTTCAGGGGACGTTGCTGTTGTATGAGAGGTGTGTTCCCCTGTCGGCATCGGACTTCTCGTGCTCTGCTGATGCTGTAGATACTCCATCTCCGGGAACGACGACCTCGGATACATCATGCTGCATCAGGCCATCCGAGCCGGCGAGTCTCTTGGTCTCTTTGGTCCTAAATGCTTGAAGTTCGACCCGACCACGCCGGAGATGGATGTCTCCATCAAGCGGACTGCTTGGGGGTTGTTTCATATCGACACGTAAGTGTTCGACCTCTGACCCCGGGGGCAAATTCTCACATGAATAGGGTGGTGCATACGGGTTTCCTCAGGCCGAGTCTTATAGACAAAGTCAACGTGGACCGGATAGGGAGAGTGGACGACAAAGCCAGCCTGTGGACGCCGTATCCGTCTCACCGAGCGGCACGACCAGCCTACCTCAACCAGTATTTTGACGAGTCGTGCAATCTCTGCGAGATCGCGCGCGACATCTCCAGGGTCTTGTTCGCCGACGACCAGAGCAATGCGTCGGCAGCGTATCGGCGCCAGACAAAGGACGACCTGTACGAGCGGCTGCGTCGGTGGCATAACGCGTTACCGGACGTCTTTGATCCCGGACGACGGCCACCGCCGCATGTCATCCTGCTGAGGTGGGTGTTCTCCTCTGCCGGGACGACCATGGCTGACTGTCGACAGGATGCGATACTTTACCCTGGTGATCAATCTGTTCTCGTGCAGTTCCGAAGATGACACCTCGAGCGCCGCTTCGGATGCGCCCAAGACCCCCGAGAGCCCGCCGCGACAGAGCCCGATCAGCAAATACAACGCCTGGGAGATCACGCAGTCGGCCGCCCGCGGCATCTCCTCTCTGACGCGGCTGCATCGGCGCGAGTACGGCATGAGCCGGGCGCATCACTTCGCCATGTACGCGATAAATCTGGCCTTGTTCGCGATGCTGGAGCAGGAGTCCTTCGATGTTCTGGACTCGGACTTTCTGTCGCTCGCCAGCTCCTTTTCGATCGTTGCCAGTCGGTCGTATCTCGGTCGGAGCCTGTTTCATCTTTTCCGACAGTCGGTCCGGGCCAAGTCGCAGGGCAGTCGGATTCGCCAGTCGAGTACGGTCTCGGACGAGCTCAAGAATCTCTTTGATGAGGAGGCGCCGATGACGGAGCAGACGCGGTGGAACGAGTACGCCGAGGGGCTGCAGAAGCTGAACGAGGATGAGCGGTACCATGGGGCGGGCGAGGGGGAACATGGGCTACAGGATTATCCGGGACTGGGACTCTTCGATATGCTGGATCGCTACGAGAGCCTGAGTTTAGGCAAGGATGAGATCGTCCCTGAGCGACGCAAACCGAGTGAGTGTTGATGGGTGTTGACACATCACGACGAAGGTGAGCCAGGGTCGCAGCATCATGGGAAAATAAATGAAATCATTATTATTGGGCGCCAGCGACGATCACAAAAGCAACCAGAATCACCGACTAATTGTATGCATCTACCCAAGGTACTTCTCCGCCCTTTGACGTCAAAGGACGATCATCCCGAGTGTGTGTTCTGTGGATGACCCACCACGCGAGCTGTGGCGACGCTCTTATGAGTTCATCCTCCTCTGCGCGACATTCGACTAGTAGTACTCGCGAGAATCTCGCTATTCTTTTCAGATTGTCCGAAACAAGCGACCTCTCCCTGAATACATTACATATCCATGTCCTCATCGATGTATCCGCCATGGAAGACCTTCCCGACATCTATCCCACTGTCGAACTGAACCACAACGAGAGCAACGGCGTCAGCTTTGAACCCGACCAGCTCGCTCCGAATGGACTCTCATCCGGTTTACACTGGCACGGGTTGCCCTTGAGCCCTGGCACACCGCAATCTGGCTACTATCTGTCCTACAATCTCAACCATTACGACACGCCACATCCTTATCCGCACCAGTCCTCCACCTCGTCGTCCGGGAGGGACGCTCCGGGCGCAGCTGTAGCCAAGGTAGCTATCCCGCGAGCTGCGCCGTACAGCATCCATTCCCAGCGTCGCCGGTCGGCGCGAGCCTGCGAGCCTTGCAGACAGCGCAAGATCAAGTGCGACGGCAATAAGCCTATCTGCAAACAATGCCACGAGCACAATGTCACCTGTTCCTATCTGGATGTGAAGCGGGTGCGCGATCAGAAACAGTTGGAGGTTTTGTCGAAGCGAGTCGACCGGTATGAGAGGTTACTGCGGGATTTGGAGACGGAGGTGGACGCGAACGCTGCGCGACGGATTCGGAGGACTTTGAAGGTTCGTCCTCTTGTTTTTTTGCTTTTGCAGTTGGAACGTGCTGACGATCGTAGACTTCCAGCCAGCAAGGATCAGGCGACAACGACAATGACGGCGCGGTATCGGACAGTTCCAGCTCGTCCGTCGGGTCGCTCAACGCAATCGATCTGGTCGAAGAGGATCTGAACCGAAGCCACAAGACGCGAGCGACAGGGTACTTTGGGAAAAACTCCGAGGTGTCCTGGATGCAGAAGCTGGAGGACGAGGCCGAGAATCGCAGTCGCATGTTCGACGACTCCGAGACCCAGAGTGCCGAAGAGCAGCCCCCGCCGCAGCAGAAGAACGATGTCCCCATCGCGACGATGAGCTACCACCTCGATGATCTGAGCATCCCGCTCATGGACGATGTCGACCCCTATGCCTTACCGCCGAAGGAGCTGGCGGACCGGTTCTTCGCGGCGTACATGGACTCGGTGCATCCGGCGTTCGAGGTGATTCGGAAGACCATTTTTGTGAATCAGTACCGGCAGTTCTTCAGTCAACCGTCCAAGCCTCCGCGCCGATGGCTGGCCATCTTGAACATGATCTTTGCCTTGGGTTGCCGGTATTGCCACTTGCTGAATCATGGAGTGGGCGTTGCCGGCGACGAGGACTGGGACGACATCATCTACTTCAACCGCGCGCGGAAACTGTGTCTGGGCGAGAGTGTGCTTTTCGAACATACAGATCTGCAGCAGATCCAGGTGGAGATACTGGTGGCTCTATATCTGCTGACCTTGGGACAAATCAACCGGTGGGTCTCAAACAGTATCAAAGCCAAACATCATAGCTAACCTCTCAGTGCCTCCAACTTTGCCAGCATGGCCTTCCGCTCGGCCCTGTCGCTAGGAATCAACCTGCGGTTCGAGGACGAACGCACGCATCACGCGTCCAAGGAAGCCCGGGGCCGGCTCTGGTGGTCCATCTACCTGATCGAGCACCTCCTGACGGCCACGACGGGGCGCGCCTCCTGCGTTGGCGAGGGCCTCAGCGCCGCGCCGCTCCCAATCCCTTTCGAGGAAGAAAACTTCGACAAACCCGAGGTCCTCCGCCTCTTCCAGAACCCGTCGCTCCGAAAAAGCCAGCTCAAGCTCACCCTCTTCGAAACCGACGAGGAAGCCCAGTCGACAGCGCAGTGGCTCGCCACCTGCGAACCCAGCCCCTCGCTCTTCTTCCACTGTCTCGTCGACCTCGGCACCATCACCCAGGCCGTCATCAACAAGGTCTACAGCATCCAAGGCCTCCGCGACACCGCCAGCCAACTCGAACAGCGCGTGCGCAAATACTCCGCGAACCTGGACACCTGGCTCGCCAAGTTACCCCCGGCATACCGCTTCACCGCGCACCCGCACCCGCACGGCACCCTCCACCTCCCAGACGACGCCTTCATGCGCGAACGCGTCTGCCTCGCCATCGCATACTACAGCGCCCGCATCACCATCAGCCGACCCTGCCTCACCCATTCACACCCCAAGTCCTCCTCCAAGGAGCCTAACCCCAACCCCAAC